TCAAAAGCAATCTACAGATTCATGTCAAAAGCAATCTACAGATTCAATGCAATCCCCATCAAAATGCCAACACAGTTCTTCACAGACCTTGAAAGAACAATACTCAACTTTATATGGAAAAACACAAACCCAGAATAGCCAAAACAACTCCCTACAATAAAGGATCTTCTAGAGGCATCACTATCCCTAACTTCAAGCTCTATTATAGAGCCATAGTCCTGAAAACAGCTTGGTATTGGCACAAAAAGTAGACAGACCAATGGAATAGAGTTGAAAACCCTGATATTAACCCACACATGTATGAACACCTGATTTTTTACAAAGAAGCTAAATTTATACAATGGAAAAAAGAAAGCATCTTCAACAAATGGTGCTGGCACAGCTGGATTCGGACATGCAGACGATTGCAGATAGATCTGTATCTATCACCATGCACAAAACTTAAGTCCAAATGGATCAAAGATCTCAACATAAATCCAGCCACACTGAATCTTCTAGAAGAGAAAGTGGGAGATACCTTTGAATGACTTAGTACAGGAGACAGCTTCCTGAACATTACACCAGTAGCACAGACATTGAGATCTATAATTTATAAATGGGACCTCCTGAAACTGAGAAGCTTCTATAAGGTAAAGGATACAGTCAGTAAGACAAAACGACAGCCCACATAATGGGAAAAGATCTTCACCGATCCCACATCTGACAGAGGGCTGATTTCCAAAATATATAAGGAGCTCAAGAAGCTAGCCACCAAAACACCAATCAATGAAATTAAAAAGTGGGGTGCAGAACTAAATAGAGAATTCTCAACAGAGGAATCTGAAATGGCCGAAAGACTCTTAAGAAAGTGCTCAAAATCCTTGGCCATCAGGGAAATGCAACTCAAAACAACTCTGAGATACCATCTTACACCAGCCAGAATGGCTAAAATAAAAAAAAAAAACACCAATGACAATCTATGCTGGAAAGGATGTGGAGAAAAGGAACACTCCTCCATTGCTGGTGGGAGTGCAAACTTATAAGACCACTTTGGAAATCAGTATGGCGGTTGCTCAGAAAAGTGGGAATCAGTCTACCTCAAGATCCAGACATTCCTCTCTTGGGTATATACCCAAATAATGCACAAGGACATATGTTCAACCATGTTGATAGCAGCGTTGTTTGTAATAGCCAGAACCTGGAAGCAACCTAGATGCCCCTCAACTGAAGAATGGATAGAGAAAATGTGGTACATTTACACAATGGAGTACTACTCAGCTGAAAAAAAAGCAATGGAATCTTGAAATTCACAGGTAATGGATGGAACTAGAAGAAACCATCCTGAGTGAGGTAACCCAGTCACAAAAAAGACAAACATGGTATGTACTCACTCATATATGAATTTTAGACAAAGAACAAAGGATTACCAGCCTACAATCCTCTTCACCAAAGAAACTAGAAAACAATAAGGACTCTAAGAGAAAAATGCATGGACCCGGAGAATGGGAAGGGCCAGGATCTCCTGAGCTAATTGGGAGCATAAGGAGAGGGAAGAGGGAGCTGGCAGAATGAGAGGAGGAGGAGAGGAGGGGTGAGCAGGAAATGAGGAGCAGAAATGTTGAGTTGGGGGAAGAATAGAGGAGAGCAGGATGAAAGATACTATAACAGAGGGAGCCATTATAGGTCCAAGGAGAGATCTGGCACTAGGGAGATTTCCAGAGATCTACAAGGATGGCACCAACTGACAATCTAGGCAATAGTATAGAGAATACCCTAAATGCCCTTCCCCTATAATGAGATTGATGACTACTTTATATGCCATCCTAGAGCCCTCATCCAGTGGCTGATGGAAGCAGAGGCAGACACATACATCTAAACACTGAACTGAATTCTGGAACCCAGTTGCAGAGAGGGAGGAGTGAAGAGCAAAGAGGTTGGGACCAGGCTGGTGAAACAGCTGGCCTGACCTGAACAAGGGGGAGCTCATGGACCCCAGACTGCTGTCTGGGAGGCCAGCACGGGAGGGATCCAGACCCTCGAACATGGATGTCAATGAAGAGGCCTCGGCACTCTATGGGGCCCCTGGTAGTGGATCAGTATTTTTCCCAGGTGTAAGAAGGGACTCTGAGAGCCCATCCCATGTGAAGGGACGCCCTCTC